CTTATTTATGTATTTAAACAAATACTTTATAGAAGATCCCTGATTGCACCATTCAATATTAATATGTGCCTGATATCTTTTCAATAGATATTTGTTGTATGGAACAACATTTCTATTATCCAACCTTACACCTGATTTTTCTACAAAATGACCATCGTTTCTTCGCCTATATAACGGAAAACCATTCTGATCAACAGACGAATGATTAATGAATTGTTTTGGAAAGTTTTTAGAGCACTTTTTATCCACCATGCATGGACAATTCATATTTTCAGCTCCACATGGACCATGAATCATAAACTCATTTACAAGTGAATACAATTCAGGATCTTCAATTCTGTCTGGTATCTCTGCTGAAATTATTGGATCGATAAGTTCAACAGTTGGTAGCTTGTTGTCAGAATGCATGAATAGACATATATGACTATGCGGCAAACCTCTTTTTTGAAATTCAATGGTATAAACATCTGTAAAAGAATTTGACAAAAAATAAAAGAGAATGTGATTAGATATCAAAACATATTTAAAATATAATAATAAGATCAATGTTTTATAAAAAAATTAAAAATATAGTTTTAATTACATGCTTGAACTTTGCCGAAAATTTGATTCTCCCTTAAGTCTTTAATGAATGCATCAAGCTTGATCTTAAACAACCTACATAGTATATCAGGTCTGTCTTCTGGTTGAAGTGAAGTATCCTTAAGAAACCTTTTAATCTCAGGCCATTTGGGATTACACGTAAAGGTTATGAAGAAATCAGGATATCCAAACCATTTACATAGTGACATGGCATCCAAATAGTTTTGCAGCATATAGCGTGCACCTCCGGTAAAGGATGAAGGTAATATGACACGTTGGCCGACATTCGAGATATCAGTCGTTCCTTGAGCTTTTTGGTTACGTAAATTTTCATAAGAATCACATCTAAGAACATGTTGTTGCCTACGTATGTAGTACATTCTCTCCGTTTCCATCATAGTATAGGCATCTACCAGAAATTGTTGAAACAACCTTCTTGAATTAAGTATGAGAGAGAACGAATGATCTCTGTCTTGAATCCTATAAGCGAAATATTCTCTCATTGTACATTTCGCACGCTTGCTGTTGGTCGTAAATGACACACCTCTATGAAGAATGTCAACACTATAACCATCATCCCCATATGGAAATAGCAATGGATATTGGAGAGGAAGGTACGAAGGATGCAATTCACTGATACGTTGTAGACAACCATTTTTTGTTTGAACGACGATATCCCTCTTTTCGATTGAATCCGAAATGTCACCAATTATTAAAGCAGCAACCTCAGAAGCAGTCGGTAGGTTATATGTTCTTCCATCTTGCTCCCTTCTCCCGATAAGTCGTAATTTCATATCAACTTCTGGATTTTTTTGAAAAGTATCTCTTACCATTCTATAAGATCTAACCAAGACATTATTTGAATCCAACATCACCTTAATATCTTTAACAATATCACTATCAGTTGATGTTGATTGATCTTTTTCACCACTAAAATAAATAAATTTATACATAATATATATATATATATATATATATATATATATATATATATATATATAATAATAGATTATGAATAAGAAGTTTGAGAAAATACCGAAAACATCTTTGTCTATTTGTAATTTCGTTGTCAGTGTCATAAATGTATAACTGAGAGAATTTTGGTTCCGATCCTTTTGCTGGCAAAAGACTTCCTAATACTATGATAATTTTGACCACCCAATCTGAAAATGTAAGGAGCGTTTCCTCTATTGATTGAAGAGTCAATTTTACCACCCATCGACGTGAAAGAAAACATTGAATTGTAACGTCGAATGTTTTTCATGAAGTGTTTGCTTTTTGAATCCATATTTCGAAACATTCTTTCATAAGTAGGGGGTGCATTCTTTAAGTCTGGAAGTTGAACTTTGCCGTAACCACAACATAATGAATAATCCGTGTTCCCATTTTCTTTACCTCTAATGGATTCATTTCTCCATAACTTTGCACGACATGTTTGACATACAACATCTTGATCACCATGATCCAAATATTCTGTAAAATAAAAGCGTTGAATAAAATATCAATGAATTTTATAATTATATAGAACATAGTATCTGAAATGTAAAATGGATTTTATTTTTTCATTACCATTTGAGATACCAACTATACGATTTTCATTGTTCACTTGATGTATATTTTCTACATCTTCTGTCAAATCAATCAATGGGATAGGGGATAAATGTCTTGTCTTCGTTTTTAATTTATGACATCCTGGATTTAACTTGATTGATGATGAAGAAGTTGTTACTGTAGATGCATTTTTTGATGTCATATCATTTGAAAGTACATGGTACTGTCTTTTCTTTGCTAACTTGGAAGTGATATATTTATCGAAACCAATGTTATCTGAATAAAATAAAAATAAAATAGTTAACTAAATAAATAAATATTTACATAATGGATAATAGTATATTTTAAAAACCATAAATAATTACCATTCGTAATGTTAGATAACGGATTTATAACATTTGTAATGTTAGAAAATGGAGTTCTAACATCTGTAAAGGAAGGACAGTATTGTATGGTTGTGTTATGCTTTGCAGGTGTTGTAAATGAATTGACATTTTGAGTTTGACGAACAATGTTGGTTGATTGATCTGCAAATAGAAATAACTTATAAAACTTGTAAATATATGTATTCAACTATATAACAGTAAAAGATGGAATATAAAATACTAATACGGTTATAGTTAATGGTTTTTTTGAAGAGATGCTGTAATGATATACTTGGAACGTTTGATATTGTTTTTATTTTCTTCGATCTTTTATTTTCCAAATATATTTTTCTTTGTCTTCTTTTCTCTTTGGCCTGCATGTGGTACATGTTACTGTTGTTTTCTGCATAAGAAGACATAGGTTAGGAAATGAAATGTGAAATTATGTACATAATATGTTTATATAATACAATTGAAGTTAGTTAGAATTAAATAAATAATGATAATAAAGTAAATGTATTTAAAAAGTTACCTTTATTAATTTGTTTATTAAAATGTTTAACAAAATTTGCAAATATTAATTTACTCTTTTATAATATATTTTAAAAAATTAGTAAATTGAAGATTTTAAAAATATTAAATAGTATAAAATAGAAAATATATTTGTTTATATTGTGTAAAAGAGACTTTAAATAAAGATATTAAAGTTAACATGAGTCGGATTGTAGATATGTGTCCGAAAATAAGATTTGAAGCGGAAGATTGTGTTGTAGTTGCAGAAATAACTCCATCAAAAGAAGTCTGGATGTTTGTATACAACGACTCCAATCTTCCATAGACGGTCGTCGAAGATCAGCAGTCAATGACTGTCCTCGATTCCCCCTAAATCGATCGCAATCTACAACGCATGAAAGGCAACCTAAAAAATCATGGAGATCTACGATACCGTGTAATCGTCCGAATTGGTCTCCGTCAGGATTGAAAAATACGATTCGAAGGTAGACTCTCCTTCTTGCTGTTCCACAATCAATTATTTCCCTGATGAGCATCATGACTCATCATCCTCATTTCCAACCTAGGGTTTATTCGATTTAAATCTACTGTTTCCCCAATTTCAACCAATCGTGGGTTCGGATGATATCAGGGGTTAAAACCCTAGATCTCCATGGAATCAATGAAGGTAAAATTGTGTGATACACGATAATCGTGATGATTATAAATTGCTTATTGATCTTATGTATCTATTCAAGATTATTTTTTTACAATTAGAAAAACATCTATTCCAGCATATTGATTATTGTTGTAAATTTCAACCATAAATTCATAGAGAAAACAAAGTGATCTAAACTGATAATACTAACCTGACATATGGATATGGAAATCTTGCAGGTAGAACTGGAATGAGGATTACAACTTTAATGAAGCAGTTTGATGTAAGCTTAATGAAAAAAAAATCGCAGAAACAATTGAACATTAAGAAGACGAATGAGGTGTTTCAAAATTTTGGATTTCACGTTTTGAGGTAAAGTTATATGCTTGAATATTGGAAAAAGATTACGATTATATGATTTTATTGTTGTTGGATCTTTATTAGATATAATTTTCTTCCTGATTTTTTGGAATTTAAAAGATTACAACTAAAAATTAGTTTAATATTCAAATTTCATCTAAAAAGGGAGTATAGAATATTAGGAAATAGTTGGTTGAATATAGGTTATTTACAGAAGATAAGTAAATATGCTGCAACCATTACAAAAATGTATGAATTAATTTTAGAGAATCAAAGATATAAATTTTGTTTACAATTGGTTATTGATTATTTATTAAAAATAACATATTTATCGTGACAAAAATAATAGTTATTCTAAATAATAGACATAAATGTTCCATGTTTAAAATAATCAACATAAATATCCTAAATAATAAACAATAAGAACACAACACATAGAAGTTGCTTTCTATTAAATGTAATTTTTTAAATCTTGTATCTAGATTACATAAATGGTAACTACATTTTAAAACTTAACTTACATCTTCCACTTTTAAATATAGCAAAACATGAAGAGGTTAAAAAAGAACAGGGTGTCATTTTATGGGTTCCTGTTTATAAAGAAGACATCGATTACAACAGCTTTGTATAAATATAATATAAAAATTAGTTAGACCATTTTTCCAATAATCAAATTGTGCATTATCTTATTTTCAAATTTTTAATTAACAAAAAATTTAGATTATGTACCGGATAAACATCAGCATTCCTACATCTAAAAACTCACGTCAATCCTAAATAGGCTTACATCACCTACAACGATTGGACATACCAATCGATTGCAGCCGATTACACACACCAAGAACCCTTCGCCCTTTCGCATCACATTTAATACCCCTCTACACCTGTTTACAGCTTCGACCTTCTTATAAATCACAAACACATAACATCTACAACCTACATCCAATCAAACTACCCATCGGAAAACCAAAAGCCAAAACCACTCCCACAAAATGAAACCGGCTGAAATGGAAAGCATCATTCATATGCTGATTGGCCAGGCGGAGGAAGAGCTGGACGCTTTGACAAAACTCGAAAACGATTACTACTTCAACCAAGAGATGAAGAACGAAGTGTTGGAGAACATGAGTTGTCGACCAAAGTACACCAACTACCTAGATATGAAGGAAGTCATCAACAAAAGTACGTACGTGGCATCAAAAAGAATCATGGCGATTTACAGTCTAAAGAAGGAAACTGAAACGACCATCCAGGAGCTCAGGAAACTACTCAAAACACTTCACAGAGATGATCAGCCATATATGGAGTGATACAAAACAAAAAAATCTCCAACTCTTTTGTCATCTTATTATCCATGGTCTCTTTAAAATCGTTTTTCTCTTTTGATACTATGCTTATGAACAGATGCATGTTAAGCCTTGTATTCA